AAAGAGTGTAAATATTGCCATAGATAGCAGGCTCTAAGGATCTACAGCCTCAAACAGCTACTGTGAGCTGTTTGTGCTTTGTAAGAAGTTTTACTGAGGGGCTGTGCTTTTTTTCATTCCTTTATTTGATTCCTTGCAGTCTAAAGTGAGAAGAATTGGTTAATCAGTGTTTGTTTCCTTGGTCCTTGCCACATTTGTAAAGTTCAGAGGTAAAGTCATGTGGAAAAAGCATGGTTTTCCTTCCCTGTCATGGCTCTCCCAGATGAGGCAGCTCTCCTGGAGCTAGATTGTGAAGCAGTAATTTCAAGCCCACTGAATGGTTTTAACTCCCCTTCCTCACCCATGCACACTGCCCTCTCAGTACAGCTGGCTTGTGCTCATTAGTCAGCAGCACAGCCCATCTATTCAGAAGGCTTGAATCAGCCCCTCTAAATGATGATGAAATTAAAAAATAACATAGAAAATCAGTATAACATGGTATAAGTCTTGTCCTATCCACTCCCTCACGACTTGCAAGTTTTCATCTCCTCTGCTTAACATATAAATAACATCAGCTCTAGTCATTGTGTGGGTCTCAGAGTCTTCAGCTCATCTCTGGTTTCATAACAGCAGGAGCATGTTGTTTCTTTCTGGTTTTAGGATGGAGATGGGAACCAGGATATACAGAGCAGATAAGGAATATGAAGGAGAAGGAGGAGCTGCTGGGCTTTTTCTACGTTTTTTGTCTAAAGTTGCCTGTGAGAAATATGTTGTATCTTAGTTTGTTTTGGTCCATTTAGTTTTTCCTCCCCAAAACTGGGGAGGTAGGATATAAAGTTGGTTTCCAGTGTGTCCCAGTTCCCTTGTTTTCAGGACAGTAGTGTTTTGTGGTACCTGTAAAGTAGTTCCAGTCTGAGGAAAAATCACCAACTTGTGCAGATATCCCCTGAGTAGGCAGGATGTCAATACCAGTACTGGTACAAACTTCTTAGCTGATGCTTTGCACCTCTGTCCTGTCCCAGTAATGATCTCTGCTTGCACCTTAGTTACAGGGAGAAGCTGAGATAGGGCTTGGAGCAAGCCAGGCTTTGCAGTGATTGAAGGCACTCTTCTAGCAGAGACTGTCACTGGTACCTAGTACAGTCATTGCCTTGGTCTGGTGAACTCCAGGGTTTGAAAGTGTGGATGGGAATGGGTTTTTAAGGGCTTTGTGTGTCCTGTTTCAGTGATCCATTGTTTTTTCTTTTTTGTTTACCCAGTCTGTAAAACCAGAGTGGCCCATGGAACCAACTCTCACGAGGTGAGTTAAAAACTTCTGTAGTGTTATCCTGCTACTTTCAGTCCCCCCATGGTGTTTTGGCTGGTGCTTTCTGGTCCCGTAGTGGGCAGAATGAGGGCTATGCCCAAATGACTTCTCTTCCCCCACCTCTCCCTTGTGTTATTTTTCCATATTTATCTGAAATGAAGTTAAATATGATTTAACCTCTTGACATGGAAGTTCTTTCTAGCAGTTTCTACCTTTTGTCATATAGTAGCTTCTAGCAGTTTGTTGCCTCCATTCTGCTCTGTCTGCAAGGAACCTCCTTCAGTGTCTCCTTTGGTGGGAGGTGACACTTAACTGGGGTTTTCACCCCACCATGTTTCTCTTCCAGCACACATGTGATGCAGGTGAGAAATGGTTTTGTGCCACAGATGAAGCAGGAGTGAAGGCCAGCTGGTTCCTCTCCTTGAGGGGAAGGAAACTGCAAATAGAGATTACTTCTAGGCATGTTCAGTTACAGTAACACGGCTGGAGCTGTGGGAAGAACAGGGCTGGTGGAACTATCTACTTTCCCTCCTTCCAGTAAGGCAGTTGCAGTTAAAATGGCTGTCTATTCCTGGAAGGAGTGCATTCCCTAGGAGCCTAGCTTCCTCCAAATTTAGGCGAGCGGAGTCCTGTTTTAATTCTTTTCCATTTGTGCTTCCTGCCTTCCTGCTTACTGCAGCTCAGTTTTGAGAATCCAGACCTCACTGCTGGCTCTTGCAATGCTTGGCTTCCTTTTGTTAACAACGTGGTTGTCGATCCAGGTTTTGCAGCTGCTCCTGAAATGTGCAGTATGTTGCTGCAGTGTCTCTGAGAGGTGAAGGCCCTGAAGTAAAATGTAAATGTAGACAAGCAGAATATCTACTGCTGAAATCCTGAGTGACTAGCGCTTCCTTTTAAAAATGCAGCTAGATTTTTCATGCAGGCCTTAGCCTGGATCATTTTACAAGCATGACATACAGTCCTATTAGTTTGCTGGAGCAGCTGCTACAGATTTTTGCAATGATTCCTGAGAACACTTGGGGACTGGGTTGTGAATTAACTTAAGACTCCAGCTTCCCTGTTGATTTTTCTGTCGAAAGTTCCTCTGCAACTGAAGCCTGAAATGCATGAACTTTTCAATACTTGTCGACTCAGGCTTGGACTTTCACTACTAAATCTTTCCTTGCTGTTCCTTCATACAGTGCAGCCTCCTGCCAGAATCTCATTATCTGAGCAAAATTAGACTAAAAATACAGTTGTAGGTTGCACTTTACCATAGGAACTTATTGCTAGATCCTAGGAGGACCCCTGGAAAAAAGCATAAACTCTTGCATGGTACTTTACATAGTAGTAGTAGTCAGTTTTTGAGTTGCTAAGTTCTTAGGAGTGATCCAAAAGTGTCTTTATGATCAGAGAGAAACTGTAATGTAATTGCTATTTTATGGTCAATGATGGCAAGGAAAGCATAGAATAAATCTCAGCTTACAGTGCACTGTCTAAAAGATGGAGTGTAGGTCTGCAAGCAAGAAATTGTTTCCTGTTTTATCAGTGACTCCTTCTTTGGCTTTTGGTATATTGCTTCATTTTCTGTAGTGGTATTCCCACTGCACAGCTGACACTGGAACTAGAACACACCCTGACCAGAAATGTGCTTTTCTTCTCAAGATGACTCCTTGGAAAGTTCAAGTACTGTCTCACAGGAGCAGCTGATGGAGCAGCCATGAGTTTGGGTTTGGTGCCCACCAAGGCTGGCAGACTGTATTTTTTCACAAGGCTGTGAAAACAAGCGAGTTAAGCCAAGGTGCTGTTAGTGAGTCTTCTTACAGTGTTCCCCAGTTCTGCACAGCCTTTACACTAGAAGCTGGTATCAGCCAGCTCAGCACTTGAACCCTACTTTGCCAGCACTGTTTGTTAGACTTGAACAGAGATGATGCCTTGCTAGCTGCCAGTGGGTCAGAACGTAACTGACTTTTGGTAAAGCTGCCATGAGACACCACTGAGACATATAACCTGAAGAAATGTGTCCAGAATTACTCTTTTTCTCAGAGTTGAGTAGACAGGAATGAAAAGACAGGGAATCACTGTGGTTTTTGAGACTAAATTCCTTAAAGACACTGTCAGTAAGAATTCTTGGTGCCAGATGTTTTATTTTGCCTTCAAAAGAGCTCTGCATTTATAATGAGGAATGCTATTTGGAAATTATGATATAAAGTGTTCCCAAGTTATTGCCAGACACAGCAGGCCTGTGCTAATGACAAAGAGCAAGTGCACCCTGCAAGTGAGTTCTTGGAGCTGTGTTCATGCATGCTAAAAACCATAAGACACCACAGTCAGCCAGTATAACGCAACCCCATGGCAGTTGTGGAGATTGTGGCTAGTCCATGGGGCTGTTGGCACAGAGCTTTGCAGAAGAGAAGTTTCACATGGTTTCCAGTAGCCTGGCTCAGTTCAGTGCTGAAAAGATAAATTCTGGGTTTCCAAACTTCTAAAATAGGATGACAAGTACCTGCTCACCTTATGGAGTGGTTTATGGAGATTAATTAGCTAACACTCGAAGAGAACACTAGAGGAACAGCACAGTTCTTGCCAGTACAATGTAAATACTCTAATGCCAGCAGGCTACACGGGAGGAGGAGGAGAGCCACTTGTTTCGTGCCACTAGAGAGAGACAAATGAGGTGTGGTAGTGTTGTTGCTGTGAATGATCTTGATGGATAATTCTGCTGGTTAGACTAGGTTTCTTTCAGAGGTTGTTACCACTCACAAATTCACTCTGTCAGATAAATAGCATCTTGTATAATAAAGGCAGAGTAAGAATATCTGGTGCAAGTAGGTATTGACTGTATGCATTTACTTGAACTCAGAAAATGTTAATCTACTGAGTCGTTGTGCATACGTGCAGACAATTATGTGATCTTATGTGATCTACCAGATAAGGAGGAGTAAGGACAAAAATTAACTCAGACTTTAACTATGCATATATAACCAGTACATCATTTACCAGTTTTTTTCTGAACAACAAAACCAATTATATTTACTATTTTTATCACAGGAACAAATAAGTTTTTAGCAAAAATTCAGTCTGAAAGTACAACATACATAAGATGAGCAGCTGATCATAGATAATATATGAGAGAGAGAACAAAGTGGTAAAGTTTCTTCATAAAATCCTTCCAGTGACCCTAACTTCACTGATCAGCTAGTCTCAGAAAGCACAAAAACTGACAGGGAGCGTGTGGAAAGAATGAGCAAGCAGTGTAACTCATCTGCACTGTGCTGAAGCAGGAAGCTCCAGTTTTATTCTGTGTATTGCTGTGGAGTCACTGTGGGACCCACAGGAATATTCTTAGCCTCTCTGGACTCTGTTGAATCCCAAGTACAACACTAGACCCAAGCAGGCCAGTGAGGAAATAACAGGCATAAGGAAAAGCTGGTGTTGCAGAACTTAGGAAGTTTTTTGGCAAGCATTACGCATCTTGCACTGACTGAGGCAGGCAGTAGGCACAGGACTTGAGTAGTTAGCTATTGTCTTCAAGGCTCTTCAGAGAGGGAAGGTGCTCTAGTCAAAACATCCTTACCTGTGGGAAGGAATTTTACACAGAGAAGAGGAAGAAAAAACATGTCAGGTTGTCTGGCTTTGGACAGTCCTTTCTCATATTCATCTGATTACCAGCATGCCCTTTTGCTGCTGTGGATAACAAGGCTCAGCATCACTGGAGTGATGAAGATTCAGATGAGTAAAGCATAGCTTTTCCAGGGCTTTGAAGATGGAGAGCAAACCTAAGTTCATCCTCACTGCTGTGTGCAAAGCAATTGCATCACCTGTGCCAGAATGCTGCTTGTTGCCAGTTCTGCAGGAGTCATGGCAGCATCAACAACAGACCTGAAAAATGGGGCACTACAGTTATGATAATGATATATTTATGTAGGCATAGTAATGGAGGGATCAAGGGAAAGGGCAGCATAGCATGTTCTGAATATATAATGGCTCATCAGTTTACTTCTCTGCACCTTCCAGCAGTGCTTCTGTGCTCTTTGAGGCAGCTGCTGTCCGTCATTCAGGCCCTATAAATGCTTTACTTCTTGACATATCTGTTCCAATCCCTTAGAGAGTGCTATCTATTTAGAGTAATTGGTAAAACCAAGTCAAGAAAATCATTAGGCTGGCATTTGCTAGCAGTGACAACTGCTGGAGTCTGCAAGAAGTTCCCTGATGATGTGTGTGAAACTCTGGTGCTTCAGCCATTGCAACTGGACTGACCCAAACCATGGGAACTGGAGCTATGGGGAAGAACTCTTATAGTTAGTACATAGAGCTGTTCCTTCTGTTATACTCACAATACATGCCTGCATTCAATACAAAATTCATTGTCTGTGTTGGTCAAATACTCTGCCCTTTTGTTATACCTGCAGTTGCAGTAGCTTCCCAACTAAAGGCAGTAAATGAAATGGCAAAGAGCTGAGAAGAGAACGTTGACTGAAAGGGAAAGCTGCACTGCCAGTAGTGTTTGAAGAACTGTGTGTCAGTGAAATGAAACATAATGAAATAGGAGTAGTCACTGAGCAGGAATTCACACACAGTCATTTATCCACCAGTAGATGTTCCCCTTCACTGGCAAGCAGGTGGTAAGTGTGAAATTACTGAAAGACTTGTGCACAACCATGTGTGTGTGTTCCCAGATGGCAATCATCTTCAACCAAGAGGGCCTGAAAGCAGTGCGGCCCCCGTGCGTCATTCAGAGCTTCATCAATCACAATGCTGTGCTGTACAAGGTCTTCGTGGTTGGGGAATCCTACACAGTGGTGAAAAGACCATCTTTAAAGAACTTCTCTGCGGGTATCTCAGGTACGTTGTGCCTGTTTAAAACAAAATGTCAGTTCTTGGAGCCATGGTAGCAAACAGCTAAGAAAAAAAAACCCTTTGAAAAGGCTGTTAAGGTGAGGGCAGCTGGTTCTTATATACTGTGTTTACTGTATCATTTCAATAGGAAAGGAGATAACTCATCTGTTCTTGGATACATACGAATGACATTTGTATAGTAAATATTTATGCAACAGTAACCTGAGTCTTACCTGTTAGAAACAGTGTTTTATGTCATGTGGAAAGGGGGAGAGGGAGAGAAATTCTCTAATTTCACAGTAAGTTCATGTGTAATCTGTTCCGGAGTTTGTTTATAGATGTGCTTTGGAGAGAATTTCCTGGATTCCATCATTTCAGAACTTCCTCCCCTATTTTTACCTTGATTATGGATGTGTGTTTAAATTAAAGATCACTTGTCCTCTCCCCTAAACTAGTCTCTGTTCATGTGAGGCCCAGTGTTGTAAACCATGGTGGGAAGTGTCCTTTGGTTTGTAGATACCAGCAGTGGTGGGTGGAAGGAAGAATGGATTTACCAGAGAGGACAGTAATCCTCATATACATCATTAGACAGCAGCACCTAAAGGGTTTTAATTAAAGATTACTAAAATATCCTTTTGAGGACAAAAACCCCCTAGTTTCTTGAGAACTGCATTCTGTGGGCCTTCAGAAGCAAGATGGAATTAGCAGGGCATGGATGGAAGCATGATCTACCTGTAACTGGACAAATCCAGGAGGTGGAGTGTGGGAGGGGAGAAGGTATCATACTGAAGGAGATTAATTAACAAGGGCTAGTTTCTGTCACTTAGTGGTTTCTGCTGATCATAGTATGTCTGTGTGTGCTCACCATTGTGTTCTGCACACATGGACATACATATAGTAGGATTCTTGTCTGTAGCTCTGTATGCCTGTATTTATGTTTAGGTCTGGTTTATGTCCTGATCAGATTAAGTAGACCAGAATGTGTGTTAATATAAACTATTGGGACAGCTGGTCTGGACTTTTGCTGGAACAGAAGGTTTTAAGGCATCTTTCTAAAAATGTCTAGGTCATGTCTCATCCATTAGTGTAAAATATTACATTTTCTGGAAGCCCAGATAAAAATAAGTTTTGTGGGCAGATCAGGGTAAGCGTCTGACTTTCTTACTCTCATCAGGAGAGTTTAAGGGGGATGTGCTACAGGCACCTGACTAGGCAGATCTGACGATTAAGCAGATCTGAAGCACATGTGGCAGTCTAGAAGCTGACTGGCTGGAAGTACAGGGCCTTTCTAAATAGGAGGAGAGGCCAGGGGAATATATGGTGGTGTCAGGCTGCAAAGTGGATTTCATGGCTCTTTGTCGTGTGTGACCCTATAACTGCTCTTAAGTGCCCACTCAGAGAGCAGCATAGCAGAAATACTCTATCGATGGTGCCACCTGTGTGCTGAGATTTGGGTCTGGGTGTTCCCATGTGAGTTGTCTATATGATGCCATCAGTCTGGTGTGGTGGGAATGCTGAGGGGACACTTGTGGGTTTCTCCTTTCCAGTAAAACCTCCAGCACAGAGGGAGCAGGGCAGGAAGTGCTGGTTTCCACTGCCCTGTGTTAATGGCCTCTGTCACCTCAGGGAGTCTCCTGCATGCCTGTGATTCCTTCAAAGGGAGAGTGGGTCCTGACCATGAAAATTAATGCTTTCCTTCATGGTGACAGTGAGCTCCTCAGGTTCACAGAGATCAGAGTGTACCCAGGGTGCTGTCGACTCCCGACACGTCTTCCCGTTGGGACTGCCCCTTTGAGTATAGCAGATTAGTAGAAATTAACTGATTTATCTTTACTGAACTTAGTTAATTGGCTCTGATGAAGGAAAGGAAAAGGAATGTCTGTTTAACCTCCCTACAGTTCTGTTTATGGGTGGTGTGAGACCCGGTGGGTTCCTGCCTGAGCAGGCAGGAGTGCCACGCAGGAGGGGTGGGCCAGGGGGGATTCCTGGGGCTGCAGTGCCATCTACTGTTCCTTGCACTAATCCTTTGGAAATTAAATCCGGTATAAAGTTATTTACAACCTGCTTTTAATTCCAGACAGAGAATCAATATTTTTCAACAGCCACAATGTTTCAAAGCCAGAATCCTCATCTGTCCTAACAGCAGTAAGTACCCTTGGTCTCTTTGCCTCTACTGCGGCTGGAAAACTACCTAGTCATTTCTTGTGGAAATGTTAGTAGCTAGTGACTCTCCTTCACAAGTTGTCTGCTTCTGTGTTGCAGGCTGAGGTCTGTTTGGTACAAGGAACCAGCATGACTGTGTCCCCCCCTGGTTTTCCTTACCGAGCTCCGGTGAGGAAGCACTGGTGCAGGAGGCCTGTGCTGCTGGCCAGGCATAAATGCCCCAGAGCTAATCTAGGCAAAGGGAAGAAGGAAGTTCTGAATGCCTGGCCTTCACCTGTCCAGAGAAATTAATAAGCATAAATCATCCTTCTAGGACTCAGTTCTGTGAGGAAAGACAAATGGTGAAAATTCAAGCAGAGAAACTGCATTGGGCAGGGCCACAGAGGGCCAGCAGCTGTCTGTTGTGGGAGCACACATGAGCTGTGACCATGGGACTATTTCTAGGTGTCTTCTGAGTCCAGCAGTGCCAGCACGCTGCACAGTTTCACGCTTGCATTACCAGTCCTTTTAATCAGTTTTGCATGTATAAAAACTAAGAAGTTCTCAGGCACTGGCTGCTGTGAAAGTCACTTTACAGGACTGGGTCCTTGCAATCTCTTGAGTCTCCAGATTGTTTTCTTTTTCACAAGCTCTATTGGGGAGTAGTAGTTTCATAATCAGCAATGATTAAATTTTTGTACAACACTGATGGGAATGTTAAATATTACAGCTTTAATTGTGCTAGGCATAAATCCTTTCATGGCTAAATTTGCTTTCAAACTAAGAGAGAATATATGCTCCTGTGGTTTGCCTTCCTTCTCTCTCAAACACATACATATTCCATACACTCTTCTGTAGGCATAACAGTTTACTTTTACTACATAACCTATTGTTTTAAAAGTGAAAAAAATTACATCCTCCAGTCATAAATAACCCAAGTTTTTAATCCAAATAAATGTTTGTAGAATAACTTACACATGAAAATCCTCATAAAAGACAGCCCCTTTGAATTAGCCTCTACCCTGAAGATATTAGTGGAGTTGTGTTGTATGGCTCAAGGGAACTAACAGCAGGAGTCTGTCTGATCAGTCCTTTAACATATGCCATAATCTACGTTTAAATAGCAGAATGATAGCCGGAATATTTGCAGCACCGGATTTAACATGCCAGCTCTATTTGGTTTTTTAAGGTGCAGATCCAGTACTTAAAACAGTGAGTCTCATTCTCTATTCATTCCTGTACTGCTGTGTTTCTTGAGGAGCTGCAGCAGTATGAAGAAGAAGAGCTAGGTGCTTTAGAGCAGATGAACTTCCAGTATAGGTAGGATTCTGAATTACGAATGCAGTTTCTTTTTGGTGTCTTTCTCTGTTTCATGCCACCCAGTTCTTTGCAATTAGATTTGGTGGATATGCACCTGGAAACCTCTGAAAATTCATCTTTACACTAAAAAAGAGACTGTTTCAAAGTCCCTTAGTAATGTTTCTTTTTCCACTATAGCTGGATAAAATCGAAGGAGTATATGAGCGGCCAAATGACGACGTCATCCGGGAAATCTCTAAGGCTCTGCGGCAAGCTCTAGGAGTTTCCCTCTTTGGAATTGATATCATCATTAACAATCAGACTGGGCAGCACGCAGTCATTGATATAAATGCATTCCCAGGTGAGAAAGGCAATTTCTCTCATGCTTTGTGGAAATCGTGTAGTGAGTGCTTAGTCTGAAGTTTTACTACTGGTTTCTCACATCATTGCTTCCCAGGTGGGGGACAGAGCAGCAGCCAGATTCTTCTGAGATCAGATGTTTAACTGTAACATGGCTGTCATGCTCTTCCCTGCAAAGGAATGCCCAGGAACTGAGGCATGGAACTGTGTGCTGGGACCTGGGCTTTCTGGGCCTGTCCCTTGTTGAAGAGTAATAAATTCTACTTTAGGAAAGCCTTTTAAGATTTCTTTTTTTCCATACTCTGTGCCATTAAAAGTGTTGAGGGGGTGGAAGAAGCAAACTGTTCCATTGAAAATCTCTTCCTGTGCAAATTCCCCATGAAAAGACATTTTGTGCATAAAAGCAACACCACCAGGAAGCTGAAGAAGATGTTAAAATTGTAGATGCACAGACGTTGCTGTAAAAGGATAAATATCCTTGCAGGTTCTCATAAGTGGATCTTGAAATAAAACAATAGAATAGAGCATATGAAAATGGGTGAATTTGCCCTCCATTTTTTTTTAGTGCAGTACATGTCCTGGAAACAACTAAACAAACACCTTGACCAGTGGAATTTCTAAAAGGTGTTGTAAGTGTGTAAAATGAGAAGCAATAATGGTCTGTCACTTGTGCTAATTTCAGTAGCCTAACACAGAAAAATAATTCTTCATCTCCTATGATGCTGTTGTGCATGGGATTTTTCTTTTTGTGAATCTCTTCTCCTTCTCCTGAATAGTGATGTTTGTTTCCAGAGGCACGAACAGGCTGTTGCAGTTTTTTTAACTGGTCATTGAAGGCACTGAGTTTTCAATATGGCTGAATTATCTTTACATCTAGAGATCTTGCCCTATGAGCTCCCAGTCTTCTTAATATTTCAGTCCAGGTCCTCAATCCCAGTAATGCCCTGTAGTGCCTTGCCCATTTCTCTCCATAGTGATTGTTTTCCTTTTAAAACTCCAGCCCTCCTCTTCTCAGGTAATTTGGCAGCTTGGTTCTACCATATGATGTTGATGCAATCTGCAGACCTATGAAAACAGTATTCATTTGAACTTGCCACTCCATGGATGTAATCTTGATATGAGTTTGCCATCAGAAATGAGAGCAGATGTACCTGTAAGAGGCTGTTGTCTATTATCTGCTCTATTAGCTCCAGCAGGCCTTGGAAAACACTTCAGAGATAAATGTCTAAAAGGCCTATTGTGTCTCCCGTTCTATAAGAAACCACTGGGACTGTATTTAGCTGTGGTTACCAGTTGAGGTATTGAACTGTAGGCACAGTCACGTAGCATGTGGGTTTTGTTTTTGTCTGACCTCAGGTAACCAAGAGAAAAGGCTTTGCTTCGCTTGCTGCCCTGCTGGCTGCGCTTACCCAGCCCAAGCAGCAGCTTGTGTGCACATTCTGCAGCCTGTCACCAGTACAGGTGAATTGCTGTTTTTTCCTGTATAGAGGAGGCAGCTGGGAAGATCAGACCTGGATGTGCACTTTGTGTGTGTAAATAAGTTGTCACAAATGCAGGACATGGGCTCTCTGACCAAGGGAAGATGCAGAAAAGCAGAGAGTATGCTAGATCAGGGAGACCCTCCTAAAAATCAGGCAGGTAGCATCATGAATGCTGGCTTAAAAAAGTTTGTAGGCATTTCTTGACTCTGCAAAGCTTGGGGGAGCAGGGACTTTTTTTCAAACACATTGATGAGTGGACTAATTGACTATCCATGCTCGTCTAGAGAACTCTGAAGACAGTTTTCAACATGGCAAAAGTCAGGCCACTTGTAAACTGGCATTGCCAAAATGGTTTCAGAGGGCAGTGCTAGGATTGAACCTGCTGTGCAACTAGTGATTTGAAGCGTGCAAGACTTAGATTCTCACACTGATTCCTTGCATGACATGAACCCCGAATTAATTGCTAGTAGTTTCTAAACATATAATTTAATCTGTCCTTGATTTCCTTATCATCACAGCACAGTGATGTCCTACAGTTGTCTTTTCTGACAGGTCTGCAGCAGCAGCCAGTGAACAGAGCGAGGCAATATCCACAGAGTTTGCAGCCTTCCCCAGGCATCCTGTGGCTCAACGGTTAAGACACCCTCGTTCTCTTCCTCCCTTCCTTGCATTTATTTTTCACACGTGTGCTAAGTTTTCTGAGTGACCAGGCAGAATTATTTAAGCCTTTCCACCCAGTTTGCAGAGGGCTTGCACAGAGGAAGCCAGCCTGATACCTGCAGCTTCCTTACACTGTAACATCTGCTGGTTTCAGGTCTGAATAGCTGGCCATCTTATTTCCATTAAATATTTAAAGCAACTTCTTTGTGAGTTTGCCAGGTGCCCTCAAACAAGGTTGGTTTGTTTTCAGTGAGCACACATGAACACTCTAGGGTACTGTGGATCTCCTCTCTGAATACTAAAGCTGTTACTATGGAGATGGCTTATTCCCAGGGTGTTTGAAGCACTCTGAGTAGATTTGAAGGCTAATCCCATGGCTTTTACATAAGCAAGAAAGCAAAACAAGCACCTCTGTCAAAGAGGGGGAGATCTTGTTCTGGCTCCCATGACCAGAGTCCTAGTTGGCCCCTGCTGACCAATGGATTATTGTGTGGGATGTTGGGAAACTCGACGTTTTCAAATGGCTGATTTGTTTGGTGAATCTCTTTTCAGGCCTTAGAGAAAGGAAAACTGGGAGCTGTTGTCTGACACTGCTAGTGTTTTGTGTGACCTGAGAGAATTGTGACCAAGGACAATAAAATCCAAAGCAATGTAACAGCCCAAATAAGAGTTAACTGGTTAATATATGGATTTATAAATACACCAGTCACCACATTTAGGGTGAAATTATCTCTTTTGTTTTTCAGGAAGTTGGGTTTTTATTGCCAAAGGAAGTTGGTCTTTATAGGAGAGTGGAGAATAAAATTAAATTATTTATAGGACTGAGGGACTCTTCTGCCCTGTGATCACATCACTAGAAGTGTTTCAAATTGTGCATTTGCTTTGTGGTCTCTGGTTCTGCTCATGTGCTGCTGTGTGAATGTGTGCTGTTCCCATGGGACTTTTGAACTGTTATTTATTGCTTCAGTCTCCTGAATTAATAGCAGGTCACCTTCAGAATACTTTTATAGACATTTTAAAACAATCAGCCTAGCCCATTAAATACACTGAATGTCTTATGTCACCTCTAAATACTAAATCACATTTATTACAATTTTAAGTAATGCAGTAGCAGTTAATATCCATTTCAAGACATACCAGTCTGTTGCATGTCTGGTTCAATTTTGAAATTAATACAGTGTTAAAACTGCACCTGTACCAAAGTGTTTAGAACAGAGCCAGAAGCTCTGTACTACTACTGCAACCCATTGTGTCATAAAAAAGTGTCATGTCTCCTTGTATTTGAGCAACTGTTTTAACCAGGAAGCTTGTTGTTAAACTCTGCGTTGTGAATTCTCTGGACTTGATTAACAGAACATACAGAAAGTTGGTGTCAGTACTGAAATGAAAGACTGATGTTTCTACCAAATACTCTCATTTATCTATGTTTACAGTCACTTGAGTGTTTTTTCAGACATTGCTCATAGTGGGGAACATATTTTAAGTGCCAAGTTAGATTAGATTAGATTAGATTAGATTAGATTAGATTAGATTATCATCACATTTCTTTTTAGGCAGTGGAAGCTGCCTTTTCTGTAGGGAGTAAGGCCAGCCCCTCTGTCCTCTGAGGTTTCCCTAGTAGGGGAATTGCTGAGCAAATTCTAGAGAGGCTCCAGCCCCTCTAGGAGCTGCATTAGAGCCACTTTCCATAGTAAACCTGGAAAAAAAGGATGGAAAAGATAAACATACCACAGAGTTTGTAACTTAGGGGAAAACCTGGACTTGGCAACAAATTGTAGAATATACCTAAAATTGTGTATACACATAAATACTTGGGAGAAAAAAGAAAATCTGAAAGGAGACAGTTTTTCTTATTGAACCAAAGTATTTTTGTAGCAATGGTCTCTGTTCCTTTTTATGCTAATCTATTTGTTCAGTCACTCAAAATGATGTCATGCTTTTTATTAGCACTTGGAGGGCAAGGACAACCAAGGAAATAAACTGGTCCAAGAAGCCTTTCAAATAACTTTTGAAAACGACTTAATGGCCTTTTTTTCTTTTCTTAATTCTTCTCTTTTTCAGGTTACGAGGGTGTTTCGGAATTTTTCACAGATCTACTGAACCACATAGCTGCTGTCCTACAGGGTCAGGCACCTGAGGGGAATCAGCTAAACCGCAGCAAGCTCCTTGCAGAGCAGACCAGTGGGATCATGGATGAGCGGATATGCTGCGCTGGCACAGGCTGTCTCAGCGTCATGGGAAAAGACTCCTCCTGGATTGTGGAAAGTGAGACCAACAGCTCAGTAAAATTGCAACACCAGAGACTAGGCTGCAACTCGGCAGTGTCCCCCAGCTTCCAGCAGCACTGCGTTGCTACATTGGCAACAAAAGCTTCTTCTCAATAACTTGCCAATGCCATGGACTGAGAGAAAGCCACAGGGATACAATTTGTGGTCCCAGAACCAGATCAGGCTATAATTATTCTGTTGAGAAAAATGAAAAGAAAAACAAAACAAAAACCAAAACACAAACCACAACACACAAAAAAAACACAAAATAAAAAAACCTTTCCATTTGATTTAACATGATGAGCTGATGAAATGGACTGAAGATGGAGGGGGAAAAGGTGATTCAGATCCATTTTGTCAGATTCCAGTTGCAAATCTGTAGTGAGTTTACACACACGTGGGTTTTAACACTAGTCCTTTCATTGTGGGAGGGTTGCTCTTTAATTTCTATTGTTCTTTGTAATCACTGGTGACCAGCATTTTAAAATCGGACCTCATGGTATCAAGAAGATAATAATGTTGAAATGCAGTGTCTGAATGTAACAGTGCTAGAGATTTTTGCCTAAAATATTCCCTGATCCCTTTTTCTAGGTAGGCTGTTGCAAAAGAAAGCTAAAACGACTTCAGTATCGCTAAACCAAATCTCCTGAAACATTGACCAGTCAAGATGTTGACAGGTAGCTTGCTGTGAAACTGTGGCACTTTGAGTGGGACAGGTCAGACTGGCTGTTCAGGGTGCAGAAGCAAGATGACCACCCCAGTTCCAGATTTGCAGTTCTTCTCCCAGGCCTCATTGCTACAGTCAGAAGCAGCTTCTTGCCACGCTTGCCAACAGTGGCACGTTTGATCCAGACAGGGTGCTGATAGGTTGAGTGATTTAGTAGATTAAATATCATCCTTTCAATTGTCTGCTAGTGGTGAAATCCTAGAGGAGTTAAGAGAAGCAGCTCATCTTTTAGAAGAGTGTTTAATTCTCTCTCTATTGCACTTGTGAGGACTCTGGGACAGCTCTGCAAAAAGGCTGGTGAAGAGAGCCATGTGTTTTCCTTGGAGCTGTGCACCTGATGTGAGGCTAACACAGGTGCTGCCTTCCACAGATCCATGCTGCTGTGCATTTTTTTTTTTTTAATTTTGCAAATTAAATATAAGCAGAATTGTGTACCTTTGTATGAGGTAGATGTCATGACAGCTCCAGCTTAGAGACCACGTTATTTTGTTGCAGACTGCCAGCCAAGGCCATGGGGTGATTTACAGTGCTGTTTTATACTGTTTGTAAACTATAGCACAGCCAAATTGTGTCTTTTGAGATACACAGTAAACCTACAGTGTTCACCCTCTATTGCATCTTCTAGTGTGGCAGCATCTTCCACTGTTGAGAATTCCTGAATCTTTTGCCAATTCTGAACACTAAACTGGAAATACCCAAGTCTGTCAGCACTGAGAACAGACACTATTTTGGTAGACAGAGTGGCCTTTGCTTTGCCATATAAGCCCTAAATTACATTTAAGAGTTGTGGTGTTAAGAAAATTTCCTTAGTTGAGCTCCTAGCTTGCAAATATGGGAAATTCTGTCTTTCTGTAGCAGGCATTTGTAAGGCATCCATCACTGCAGCATTTAATACCAGTTTGTTTAGTAGCATGTGTTAGATATCTACTCAAAAGGAAAGGAAATAGAGCTTAAAGCCCAGGTAGACTGTGGAGAGAGGACTGCATAAAAGATTTCACCACCCTACCTGATGCTACCAATCCTGAAGGGGAAGAAGTTTTGAAGAGTGTTGTGTGGCAGTTTTTTGTATAAACTTTTCCATAGGAGAGATAGAGTTTGTTCCCAAAATGCCGTTCTTGGGAATTTCCTGTAGCCAGGATTGGATTTTTGAGGACGATTTAAGTGGAGATTAATCCACCTCCAGACGGGTCACTAACTTTAACATATTCCTACAGGGACTGGGAGGACCTTATGATTGTGGTTTGTGTCAGATGCCAGGGTGCACATAAATGCAGCCAACTTCCTAGACTTGCAGGTGAGCTCTGAGCTGGGCACTCTTCACAACCCTTGCATGCTTTGAGCCTGCTGGATCCCACATTGTCTGCAGCTTGCAGGTCTTGCGTGGTCGTGGTGTGAATGAGCCAGGTGTACATGGGTAAGGGTTTAGAAAAGTATTCATGATAGACCAAACCTTGCGTAAAGCCATGACTGAAATAAAATTGACATCTACAGTTTGAGGTTTGGTTTTGTTTGTTTGAAATAAAAAGTGTTTTTATGTTACACGTGTAACAAAAGATACCCTCAGGAAGGAACTTGCCAGTGCATATTTTTGTATGGTACTTTCTTGTAACCAGCTGGTGGAGTGTTTGTAGACTTGCCTTTTGCCTTTTGCTCCCTTTATTACAATGGCTTGGGGTTGTTATTTTTTTGCTTTGTTTTGGGGTTTTTTTTGTTTTTTTATTGGGTGATGGGAAGAAGCAATGATGTTAAACTGGGTTAGAAACTCATGTCCTTTCAAACTAAGTATGTTTACATGAATCTGAGTGTTGGATCCAATGGAAATGTCTGTATGCTGTTTCCTAGTTAGAACATCAAATAAGAATTTTATTTTCCTGGCTGCCTTCTGAATTTTGGTTGGCCTATTTTGCACTGCTTTATTTCTCCAAAATAAACTACTGAAATTTAATTGTGCATTTTAAACTTGTTTACAAATGATTGTTAGAAGTTTGTTTTGTAATTCTCTGAAGGCTTGCAGAAATGCTATATTTAAATATTACTCCAGACCTTGGCAGTAAACAGAAAACAAGTTTAGGTCATTGATATGATCAGTGACATTTTCCCATAGCCTGTAATTTATTTTTTATTTATCAGATGTATCAGTATCACTTTAATTTACCAGGTGCAGATATTCAGGTACCTGTTATGATGTGGCATTACAATAGAGTTTTCACAAAAATTACCATGCAATTGTACTACTCTATTTCCTTATATGAATTATTGTTATGGCTCGTATACTAGAATGTTGCTAAATGACAGGGGCAAATTGAGAGACCAACTTTTAAAAGCCAAATAAATTACCAAGTATCCAGACATACCTTATTGCAGAACATTTAAAGATGCTTATGTTATTAAGCTAAAGTGCTTTTCTGAATTGCTGCCTCATTTGATAAGTTCAGGATAGTTTTAATTTAGGATAAGCTCTACAGTAAGTTAGTTAATATTCTGTAGCCTTGGATTTTTTTGTAGAAGAGTCGAATAGTATCAGACCATACCAGAATGCCCTTGCTCTTAAAATTGCAGACAATCTGAGGGAGATTTTTCATAATATCTGTTTGAATTCTGTTATTGTGGGTTAGAAAAGGTTCTGATCTGATTTCAGAGGCATAGCTATTATTGCTGTGTTGATGGGAGCAATTATATTACAATTACATGGTCACCAGTTAATTTCTTTAGGGATCTGTTTCTGTTCTGCTTCACTGCTAGAAATCCACAAGCGTGCCATTAGCTTGACTGGGACTTCTCCAGGTTTTGTGTCTGTGTGATGGAGATGGGTCTCTGGTTTCCATTGTAGTTATGTAATCAGCTTCAGTAGGTGAAGATTTTTCCCTATTGAAGAGAACTTGAGTGGTGTTATTACTGCCTGTGATGTGAAGCCATCGCCGTCCTGCCCCTCTAGCAGACTTTGCTGCCTTATACCTGGGTTTGTAACAACTGCACCAGAACCTCCCCGTCACTCAGTGAAAATCAGCTGCAGTAATGCAGCCTAACTGGGAGCACTGGTGCTGGTACCTGTGGTGTGTGCAGCACAGAGCTACCCCTGGGCCAGTGCTGCTTTGCCTTTGGTTAACCCCTTGTCTGGCTATTCATCCTCTGTGCTGTAAGAGCCAGGCTGGTCAGTAGATAGGGTGTATTTTTTTCATAAATACTGTTCAAGCTGTTGGAATGGTAAGGCTGCTTAAAGATCGCTATCCTCAACGTGTCAGTTTGTGCGAGGAGGTCGCAGCAGGTTGCTCAGGTGGAAAACCACCAGTTCAATTTGTTTTCATCATAGATGAGGGAGTACAAATTAAGAACTTGTCCCTGAGGCTTCATGAGGTAATGTGGATTGCTCAAGATAAAGCCTGAAGTTTTGCAGGTAACTGCAGGGTGTATGCAGCCAGTTGGAGCAGTGGGTAGGTAACACAGGCAGGACACAGTCCAAAGGCAACAGAATACATGGGGGCAGAGGTGCTTAAATTGGCTGGCAAAAAAGAGTGAAACAAAGGAAAAATGCTTCTGTTGTTTCTATCTGGTAAAAAACATCCAGGCTTATCAATTCTTAGACTAATGTTGGTTTCCCAAAGTCTTTGCATGGCAGCAGTGACAAGTGAGTCAGGCTTTTTCTCACTAGCTTACAGCCTTGCCTTCCACAGCTGTGCAGAAAAGCCTGGATTTTGTTTTTTGGATGAATAGAGTCTATTTTGAGTGTGTAGCAGTCTCCTCATGTGCACAGTTCCAGAAGTTCACTTGCATTACCCTGCTAATTTTATTTTCCTCTCTCCTTTTTAGTAAGAGATGTGTTGATTTCTGTATCCAGTATACAATTACTTTATGGTGTTGCAACTGTGTGTTTTGTAATTAGGAGTATGTGAAAATTATTTGTGTAGTTTAAAGTATTTCCTTTAATATAATCTCCTCTTGCCTTCATCGATAGATACAGCACTGCAGATCACATTGCTGATTTTATTTGTAATACTGCTTTAATATCTATTTCAGAGGAATGTAACCTCCAGAAAAGTACTTTCCACATTTTTGCTATCTTTCCTTTCCCTTCTCAGTCTGAGTCCAGGCCATCAACACTTGAGCTTTTGACTGAATGGGTTTCAGATCCTCCTTGGATTCTGTCCTGTTTACATGGCCACAAAAATTGCTAAAGATTTTTGAAGTTTGTGAGGATCCAGGGATAAGTGGAGATTTTAGAGTGATTCCTGAACAACACAAGCACAATAGCTTCTATAGCAAGTAAAGGCTCCGAGTCATTCTCTCTATGCACACAGGTGGCTGTTGGAGTCTAGTCCACCCCAGCTGCTGGGGCAGTTTTCCTCTGGAAATAAAAAAATCCACTGCAAGAAAATGTTTTGTGTCTGTGATGCAGAAGGAGGATGAGGAAAGGTAGCACTTGGGAGTAAGATTCTGGCCAGTGGACATCATGATACCAGTGGTCCAGAATTGCACTCTAGTGTTTTTTAATAGCAAACTGGGGAGATTTTTTCTTTTTCTCTCCACCTTTCTTATCTGGAATCCAGTGGGGCTGATGCCAGCAGATGCTTGAGGGCCACATGAGCTCATTAGCAGGTGACCTTGCCCAGCATGCCATGAGGTTGCAGAGGGCTCCTGATGTGTTGGGAAGTTTTTGTTGATGGCCTGGAAATCTCCTGAAACTCCAGAAATAGCTGAAACAGTGAATGGAGTTCATGAAAATCAGGTCTTCCTCTTCCATCCTTTTTAAGGAAACACACCTTTTATTTCCTCTTTCATTCTTTACACAGTAGTTTTTAGATATAAATTATTTTAACATTTTTGTGTGAAAAGTCATATATGCATATATAAAGTTATTAAAAGTTTGAATATATGTTGAGTTTAAAACAGTGACTTCTTTGTTTCAGATGTTAGCAGCCCCTAAAAATGAGTTGTCATCTTGTAAAGTCAGTGCTGTAAGAAAAAATATTAAACATAAACTATGTATTAGATGTATCTTTTATTATTTATTTCTGATTCAGTATTCTATACAGCTTGTGTGTACCCGTGTGAGAACCACATCCTAAAATGCAGTCATTCTTAAAATGGAGTAAGAACAGTTCCTTGAGATCCCAACAATTTTGAGAAAACTGGCCCTCCAAGTGTGAATAGTGTTGGATATTGTCCTTCACTCTCCAACATTCCTCCCTACCTAAGCATGGGTGAATCTGGGGGACCATTCCGTGTATGTGCTAAGTTTCACAAGTTCAGCGGTAACTGTGTCCAAATCCAGCTGTACAGTGTTAACAAGTGTGTCTTGTGGTTCGCTTCAGCCCGGTTCACTATGACTTCTGCAAAATAACTCCCATTTTGTACTTAAATTTGTATAGAATGATATAAACCCTTAAAAGATTGTGGCTTACTGTAAAAACCAAAAATACGTGCTATTTTGCCTCTTACTTTGATTGCATGACTGATCGGATCTAACAATGAAGATGGTGCTTTCATCTAACAGCATTGATTTCAATATTCCTTTTCAGTTGCCAAGCACCTGTTTTGGACAATGTTTTGGTTTCAACAGTAAAGCAATATGCAGTAGGTATTGTGGCATTATCTCTGTAATTGTTTTGAAGACACAATTGTTCCTTTCCAACACGTAATGGAAATAAATGCCTTATAACAAGTTCTACTTTGCTTTTTCTTTGTGAGCAGATAGGGCAGCAAGGTGAGCTGCTTGTTGGGGGGAGCCCCTTTTCATCAGATTTTGGTTTTCACATCCTTCCCTGGTGCAGTTCTTCACAATTAACTTTGGACCTCCTTGTACCAGCGAGACTTGATTTGATTTCCCTTCCAGTGCTAGTGGGACGTCAGCTGGTTTTATCTTTCAGTATAATACAGCTAAATATCACTGGGATTCAGGCTGCTGCTGTACTTCAGAACTTATTCCTGGCGTAGACTTCTGGGTTGATTCTTCCTTCATCATTCTGGGTAGAGAACTCTTCTTGATTGCTCAAAACCTAACAATTTTTTAAATCAGGGCGCTGTTTTGTCTAGTGCAGGAAAGATAGATGGCTCACCCAGCAGCATTACATTTTGCTAAGCAACAAGCCTGCTCATCAAGGGCGCTCCTGTCAACACTGCCTGGGGATCAGCGCTTGGTGTCAGCCCCAAGGCCAGGGCCTGCCATCCTGTGTGAAGGGCAGCGCGGAGCAGAGGTGCAGGGGTACAGAGGTACAACTGTTGAGGTGCTGGGGCAAGTACAGAGGAGGGCAACAAAGCTGGTGAAGGGCCTAGAGAATAGATCTTATGAAGAGCACTTGAAGGACCTGGAAATGTTTAGCTTGAGGAAGAGGAGGCTGAGGGGAGACCTCATCAGTCTCTACAACTCCCTGAAAGGTCATTGTAGAGAGGTTGGTGCTGGTCTCTTCTCACAGGTAATTAGTGACAGAACAAGAGGGAATGGCTTCAAGCTGCAACAGGGGAGGTGTAGACTGGACATTAGGAAAAAAAATTCACAGGGAGAGTGGTTAGACACTGGAATAGGCTGCCCAGGGAGGTGGTTGAGTTACCATCCCTGGAAGTGTTTAAGGGTCGTTTGGATGTGGTGTTGGTGGATATGGTTTAGGGGAGAACTTTGTAGAGTAGGGATGATGGTTGGACTCTGTGATCCCAAAGGTCTTTTCCTACCTGAATGGTTCTATGATTCTAATGGGTCTGAGGGCCAGCAGTTACCTACTGGTGAGGCATCCTCCCAGGGCCAGTGCTCAGGCTTTGAACTCTGCCCTTCCCTTTGGAGAAAGTCCTTGGGTCCCAAATGTTAGTGATTCCTTGGATTATCCAGTTAAGAAATACAGTATTTACAGTAGCTCCATCAAGTAACAATTTTCCTCTTGTTGATTTTGCAAGCAGGAATAGACAAGTTCTGTCTGCTGCCACCATCCTTTGTGGAAAAGCTTGGCTAACTCTTTTGGAGATGGCTGAGTTTCTTTGGTGGGTTGTTTGGTTTCTCAGTGTTGGGTTTCTGGGTTGGTTTTTTGTTTTGTTTTGGCGAGAGTGGGGTGGATGGCTGAGGGTGTCTGTTAATGTATTGTGATGTGTAGACCTGAGTTTGCAAGGGTGTTGCTACTGGCAGAAACTCTGCCAAAAAAACCCCACAAAAACCCAAACAAACAAACAAAAAACCCAAACAACAACAACAAACTCAAACCAAATAAAAAAATCCCCACCTAAATACAATATTAAATTTCAAATTTAAATGAAGATCAGTATGCAAAATGTGACTTTTACAGCTGGATTAACTCCCTAACAATAGACATTTTTAGCACTGTTTCTGTGGAACAGCTTTCGTTTCACTTCTGTTCCTGCACGTGTTTCCCTGAGGTTAACCAGAGTGCAATCTCCTCAGGATGGGGCTGGGAGATGTGCACCTTGCTCTGGTGCACTTTGCACAGCCAGCTGCTCCCTGTGTTCCATCCCAGCTTGCACCCTGTGCCGGGGCAGCTTTTGGGCTGTGCCTTGTTCTTGCCACCACCTCCTGCCACTGTGTGTTTGCTCAGGGCTGGAGGTGAGAGGCACTGCCCATCAGCAGTTCCTCCATCCCTCCCTGGGACAGCTCACCCAGTGGGTGGAGGAGGACAGCTCTGGAGACCCAGTGCCTCTTGCGCCAATGGGACCCTGCATCTCCAGGGCAATTGGCTCTGTGGGCCAATGGGGCTGATTTACCCAATTCAGTTTCAGCAGAATAAAGGAATATGTCAAGTTCACAGCCTGGCAACTCAGCTGTTCTGGGTGGCAGGTGAACTGACCTGCAAACTGGGGCTGGGGTACAGGCCTGGCAGTGGGATGTTTTTTTTCCTCTCCTGCCAAGACACCTAGGAAGTCCAAAACCTTATGACTCGTGTTCTGAGACTTTTGGGGCAACTTTCCCCAGCCCAGGCACTGCCCGACCCTCCAGCCCGAAGCTCAAAGCACGGGGAAGGTTCTGCCTGTTAGCCCTGTGCCAGCAGACCAAGACAGCTCCTGCAAGCCAGTGCACAGGAGGAGCATCCCCTCAGGACCAGCTGTCACCTCTGGGGGAACACCGACCAGTAGTTTTCCTCATGACAAGCCTTTTTATAACATTTTGGGTTTTTTACCCACTTATGCATTGTCCAAATAGCTTGACTTAGTCAAGCATTGCCCCAGTGTTTGAACTTCTGAACTGTTTTCTCACTGGTCAAACCCTTGTTCATTGGTGAACTACAGAGGTGACCACATCTCAGTGAAGGGCCTGGGATACCCAGTGCTGAGGGCAGGCAGGGAGAGAGCCCCACAGTGCTCAGGACCTGGGGAGGTGTCCTTGCTGCTGGGCCTTAGCAGGCAGCAGACTTGGGTGAGGAGGGAACCAGCATCACAGTGTGTCCGTGGGGCGGGGAGGCACCCACTCCCCCTCCTCCCCACCAGGGCCGTACCAGCCCTGCAGTGTGCTGACAAGCAAGACTGAAGCTGCCAAAACAAAGGAAGGAACCCACTGCAGTTTTATTTTTCCTTAGATAAATTTTTTATATAGAATATATTACAGTCAGAGTTCTCAGCTTTTAATCAAAAGATAACAAGTTATTGCAGGTTTTTTTTTACCCAGTGAAACTACCGGTGGAAATGAAAGCTGTTGTCTTTTTAAAAAAAAAAAAAAAAAAAAAAAAAAGAGGGAAAAAACCCCCACCCGGGCAGAAAAGACAGATGCAGATCACCCTTCATGCCCACCAGCACCCAGCCAGGCGGGTGGGCATCCATGTGGACAAGGGAGCACGAAGTGAAGAAGCAGCAATGGGCACAACACTACGGCAAGGGAGGCAGGCCTGGACACTAGCGAGGTCAGCTTCCTAGGCACGATGCTTCTGCTCCAGCTTAATTGCTTTTAAATCAGGAAATGAAAACACGGTGGGGACAGAGGAGGGCAGAGGTGGTGGCTTTCACCTGTGTGGGTGAGGTGGGTCCTCAGCCTCGTCTCAGCTCATGCAGCTTGTGGGCAACACGCTCCAGCTCAGCCTCGATGGCGGCCAGGCTCTCCAGCTCCTGGTCCTGCAACAAAAGCCCAGGACAAGCATCAGTGGCCATGGGTGGGCAGGCCTCACCTCCCCACCCAGAGCTATGGAAAGCCTTGCCAGGGACTAGCTGGCAGTGGTGACACAAGAACAGCTGCCTCTCACCCTCTCCCCTCAGCCTGCTCCTGCATTTGCCCCTCTGGATAGATGTCTGTGCAACACTTACTAGCCCTGTCCTAACCTTCAATCGCAGCAGCAGGGGCTGGGGCTGAGACAGGCAGGGCTGGGGCTGAGACAGGCAGGGCTGGGGGCGAGACA